TCATTTTTCTGTCTCACTGTTATTTTAAAGACTTGTAAATTCATCTCATTTATATGTAAATGTGCAGGTTTTTTAAATTTAACTATTAAAACAATTTTTATCCTAGCTCTGATTATCTTGATTACAATCATAAAACATGCTTGCTTACTGAAGATACAAATGACACCACACCCTGGAATTTGAAATCAATGCAAGAAAATTGAAGTGACGTGGATGTAATATTTATGCTTAGAAACACTTATCCAAATTGGAAATGACAATATTTATTTTAATCTTCATTGAAATCATACAATTTACAATTAAAACTTCTCCAAATGGAAATGAATAGAAACTATGATAAGAGTGCTTCCTTTTCTTCTAAGGTTGTGATCTTTGTGACCAAAAATGGATAACAACACATCTATATTTCTTCTCTTGGAATTATCAAACATTCGGGAACTTCAGATTATATATGCCTCTGTATTTTTGATTTTGTATTTAATTACACTAACTGGGAACTTCTTGATTATCTCTGCAATCATTTTTGATTCTCACCTTCATACACCAATGTACCTCTTCCTAATGAATTTAGCCCTGCAGAACATCGGTTCAGTTTCAGTCATTATTCCCAAGTCCATTTTCAATTCATTTATGAACAGACAACAGATTTCTTATTTTGAATGTGTAACTCAAGTTCTTTTGTTTTTATTCTTTGTAGACTCTGATATTTCTCTTCTTACTGTCATGTCATTCGATCGATATGTTGCTATCTGCAATCCTTTACAATATGAAATGATAATGAACAGGAAGGCCTGCACCCAAATGGTTGGCAGCGTGTGGATTGCCAGCCTGTTCAATGCTATATTAAACACCACTGGGACTTTTCTCACTCCTTTCTGCTCTAATATTATCAATCAGTTTTATTGTGAAATCCCACATTTGCTGAAGATTACTTGCTCAGATTTATATATAACTGAAATTGGAGTTGTAGTATTTAGCATTACATTAGCATTTGGTTGCTTTGTCTTCATTGTTGTTACTTATGTGGAGATCTTTCTTGCTGTTCTGAGAATTCCTTCTGTCCAAGGAAGAAAAAAGGCTTTCTCCACTTGTCTGCCACACCTCATTGTCTTTTCAATTTTTTTGTTTACTGGTTGCTTTGCTTACCTGCGTCCTATATCAGAGAAACCATCACACCCTGATTTTGCCATTACAGTGATGTATTCCATTATCCCACCCATGATGAATCCATTAATCTATAGCTTGAGAAACAATGACATTAAGATTGCTCTGTCAAGAATTTTTGCTCTGAGGTCATTTATATAAGTGGGAAATATTAGGAGCACATTTAGAGTATAAAACTGAAGAGTAGGGTTAGGTAAACTTCATCTCATAGTTTCACATATTATATTAAGTTGGAAAGTGTGTGATAATACAGTTTGTCAATAAAGCAAATGAAATATTACTTTCCATATTTCAATAAAACAAATGAAACATTACTTTTTTCTTCTCAGCAATTCTTGAAACAATTGCATATTTTCCTGGGCTCATGTAATTGAACAGAAAAATATCGCAAACTTAGGGAAGACATAGTTGCTTTAAACTGTTCCAAAGAAGTGCCTTATATATAATCAACTATGCTAGAATTTTTTCTAGTGGGTTCCCCCCCACACACACATTTTCCCTCTTCATTGTTAGATATATATAATTTCACCTGCAATGCAAAATATATTCTGTTGAGTGCTTATTCGCAGGACAGAAAATATATATTTTTGATCAAGTGAAGAAAGTATCCACTCTGGGGGCAGGATAGGGATAGGGATAGGGATAGGGACAGGCCTGATCCTTTCCCACCCCAAGCATGATCAGCTTCCTTTTGCTGTGTACAAGACAAATGACTTAGTCTCTTGCAATCCTCTCTAACCTCTCCATTCCAGGAAGGAGGTGGGGGAGGGAAGGGCAATGGGGAGATTGCCTTCAGAAATTGATTGTTTTCTTTCCCACCACCACCGCAGCTGCAGAGCAATTCTAGAACCACCCACCTCAGACTTATGACTCTTGTCACAAGATGGATGGTCCCATCATCTCCTCATGCTTAAACCCACAGAAGACTGCTATCCTGTGTTCTCTTTATGAGGAGCAGCCATCTGGAGCACATGCAGGCATCACAACCTCTCTTGTCATCCAAACAAGTGTTGAATAACTAGTGTACTCTCTGGTTCTTCAGTTTTTGTTGCATTTTCATAGAGATGTCTTTTGTTCAGCATGCTTCCCCAGAAGTTAAAATGTTTTGATCTTAAGTTGATTATTTCATAAAACTCCATTGTATTGTTTTCTCTCTATCTTTCTCCAGGTTTGAATTGTTACAATTTCAATAGCGAACAAAATTTTATGCTTGTTATTGTAAGGATATGTCTCATTAAAATATATTTCTTGATGCATTTTTCTAAAATTATATTTAATGAGAAAAATTGTGGTTTCATTTCAAATTTAATTTCCAAGATTTCTGTATTATACTCTAGATTTCTTTCCAATACTTTTGAGGGCTTTTTTTTTTTACACATCCACTACATCTGATAGAATGTTGTTTCTGTTTCCTGGCATATTTAACATTTATTACCACATAAATTATCTATTTTAAATAGAGTTGTATATCATCTGTAGAACATTTTATATCAATTTTCCTTTAGGTTATATATACACATTGTAGAGATTTAATCCATAGCTCTTTTCAATTTTGTGTGACATCTATTTCTTTAAAATGTTGCTTCCATTTGTCATAAAAAATTTATTTTGTTCTGTCCCTGTATCATACCTAATTAAAAGTATATACTGATTTTTAGCATCTTATAATTTGATGATCACAGGGGTCTGCGGGGTACAAATAGCTACTACTGAGTGCAATGAAGAGAGGGCCACTTTGGTGTAGCAGTTAAGACATCAGGCTAGACATGGGGAGACCAGAGATCTAGTCCTGTCTGAGGTTCAAAGACAATTGAGTGACCTTGGAGCAGTCTCTCTCTCAGCCCTAGGAAGTAGACAATAGAAAACTACTTCTGAAAAAGCTTGCCAAAAAAAAATTAGGGACTTGTCCAAGCAGTCTCTGATAATATGACATTATTAAATGAAAGGAGAAAAAATAGCAGAGGCTGTAAATACTAAGTTAGACATTCACTCTGTGTACCCTCTTTTTCTTTCATTTTTATGGCTTTTTGTCTATGAGATGGCTAATTTCCAGATTTTCCTACTGCCTTTATTCCCAGGACAAAAGCATAAAACTTTGCCTTCAGGCAAGAACCTCACTTTCTAGGATCTTCATTTTTTTTTTAAAAAAAGTATTGCATATTTGTCATTATCCAAGATACTTTATTGTCTACTGCTTCTTGTTGCTAAGAAATAAGTGCTCTATCCTAAGGCAAGCTGGAAGGTGATTCTCAGAATAATTCCTTGCACATAATTAAATACAGAATGCCAAATGATTCTTCATTATGCTTTTAATGTATTTTTCTTTTAATGTATGTATATATATATATATATATATATATATATATATATATATATATATATATATTCCCAGCTTGTCTAGTAAAAGCAGTGGCATTGTAAAAATAAATTTAAAAAAAACCTTGTATCATGGGTCAAGTATAATTTAATGTGGAGACAAGCAAGGTTTATACCTGGGCAGGAAAAACTAATGGTACACGTACAGATTAAATGAAATCTAGCTCAAAAACAGTAACTGTGAAAGGGACCTTGGAGTCCTAGTGGACAATCACTTAAACATGAGCCAGCAGAGTGTGGCAGCAACCAAAAATAAAATAATACAATCTTTGGTTGTATAAACATAGGCATAGAATCAAAATCATTTGAAGTATTAGTACCGCTTTGTAAAGCCTTAGTAAGGCTACATCTGGAATACTGTATCTAGTTTTGGTTACCACAGTACAAAAGAGATGTTGAGACTTTGGAAAAACTGCAAAGAAGAGCAACTAAGATGATTAAAGGCCTGGAGACTAAAACATATGAAGAACGGTTGCAGGATTTAGGACTGGCTAATCTAGAGAGAGAAAAAGGATAAGGGGGACATGATAGCAATATTTCAATATTTGAGAAGCTGCCACAAGGAGAAGGGGGTTATTTTTTCCCCCAAAGCACCAGAAGGCAAGACAAGAAACAATGGATGGAAATTAATCAAGGAGAGAAACAACCTGGAAATAAGGAGACACTTCCTAACAGTGAGCACAATTAACCAGTGAAACAGCTTGCCACTACATTGTGGGCCATTACATTACATCATCACTCATTTTTTTTTAAGAAGAGACTGGACAGCCACTTGTCTGAAATGACATAGGGTCTCCTGCTTGAGCAGAAGGCTGGACTAGAAGACCTCCAAGGTCCCTTCCAGCTCTATTCTGATTCAGATTCAGAAGTTCAGTCTCAAGTATTTGTGTACAATATAATGATTCAAGTACAAAAAAGCAAAGTTTGTATTGTCACATCATAATGCACATTTTTTTTTATTTGCTCTCCCTAGTTCCCATTTTTTGATACTCATGGCTATTTCTTTCAAAACCAACAATTGCAAGTCAAGCATCAAAAAGTGAATAATTCTATTGTAATATAAAGAATTTAAAGTCAGAGAGTTTAATGGGCTTTCTATTCTGAAACAACAGTGTATCCTTTTCTTTTTTTAAAAAAAGTTAGTGGATAGGATTTGGGGACAGAAACCTTAGAAAACCTGGATCTTTAGACTGACATATGAAACTTTGTCTTAAAAATGGAAAGCCTGATGAAAGCTGGGTATCAAGGCCTTCCTTCTGAGTTTTTCACTGTTAGTGCCTTTGCTTCAAAATACAAAAAATATTCTAAAGCAATCCTCCTCTCTGCTACATTCTCTATCAACTGTAGCTTTCAGATCAAAAACTTAATAACTTTTTAAAATGTTAAAAGTTTTAAAATATGAGGTTTATTGAGTATAGTGACAAAGATCTAGTTAGGCACTAATCCAATTTCTATTTCAATCAGCATGATGTATTCAGGGAACAGTGTTTTCCTCTGAATAGTTTTGAGAGAGCTTTTTTAATTGCCTTGTTTCTCATGCTGTAAATAATTGGATTCAGCAGAGGAGGAAGCATTGAATATATCATTGTAAAAATCAAGTCCAGATATGATGGAGTGTCAGAGGTTGGTCGTAAATAAGCAGTACTTGCTGTAAATAAAAACATGGAAAATACAATGATGTGAGGAAGACAAGTTGCAAATGCTTTTTGCCTCCCCTGCAAGGAAGGAATCTGAAAGAGTGCCGTGAAGATATGTACATAAGTCACAATAATGAAGCAACAGCAACCTACCCCAATGGCAACACTTAGAACTACAACTCCAAGTTCAATTAAATATAAGTCAGAGCAAGCAAGTTTAAGTAACTGGGGGATCTCACAGAAGAATTGATTTATCACATTAGAGCAGAAAGGGGTTGCAAAAGTCCCACTTGTGTGTATAACCCCATGAGCAAGACCAGCAAACCATACCATAGTTACCATTCGTGTACAAGCTTGCTTGCTCATCATCATTTCATAGTGCAGTGGATTACATATAGCAATATACCGGTCATATGCCATGACTGTGAGAAGAAAAAAATCTGATGATATAAAAAAGAAAACCAAAAAAACCTGAGCAACACATCCAAAATAAGAAATGTCCCTGGTATTCAGGAGGGAATTGATCATGGATTTGGGAAGAATCACTGAAACAGAGCACAAATCCTGTACAGCCAAATTCATCAGAAAGAAATATAATGGTGTATGAAGATGATGGTCAAATGCTACTGCAGAGATGATTAAAATATTCCCTGTTATAATTGTTAAATATAACAACAGGAACATGGTGAAATGGAGAATCTGCAGTTCCCAGGTCTTGGAGAATTCTAGAAGCAAAAATGTAGATACAGATGTGTTCTGAAACATTTTGTGCATAGCACTTTCACAATTCCTAGGTAAAGTAGCAGATTGAAAATGGCTTGAGTCACTTAAAATAACTTACTATAGTATTACAACTAAAATGTGCTCATATGATCATCTAGAGAGTCAATGAAGCTCCATATTTTTCACTCATTGTTTGCCTTTCTAGATGCAGTGGGAAGAACTGGTTTCATAGAGGCAAACTTTCTCCCATTTCAATTGCTATGGCCCCCTTCCTGTTCCCACCAAAATATCTCCCACTGAATATTGATTATAAAAATAACTTCAGTAGAATACTCTGGAACATTTTAGGGAATTTTGAAAGCGATAAAAGTAGAAATGGAAGCAGATTGCCTCTCAGAAGCCCTCAAATTTCATTTTTTTAAAAAAAAAATAAAATAAAAAATAAAGCCATGCAATCATAATCACAGAATTTTGGAGATGACATTTTTGCTTCCTATGAAACCACAACTGGGATGTTGGCAAGCTATGTATGAAACTTTAATAATACTCACCCCCAAAGTAAAACAGTTTAAGTATATAAGATGAAACACCATCAATATGAATACCAAAATGACTCTGGAGAAGATGGTCCTGAAAGCAGGGCTTTATATCGCCAGTGTTTTTCTTATTAGAGAAATCTCTTTAATTACTACTATTGGAAGACCTGAAAGACCAGATCAGGGACAGATTATCACAGAAAAATATCTGTCAATGTGGTTGCTGAGAGCTTGACTTGAATGACTTGAAGACAGAAAATCAATGAAATGTCTTTAATCCATACTCATTCTAAAGGAAGGACTACAGTATATCTCTGTCAGAATCACTGATCAGAAATTGATGAGATATATAGTTTCATCCATCAAATTAAAAGTATTTAAAGACAGTGCTACTTTTTTTTCATGTGCTCCAAACCATTTTTTTGGAATCAACTCTGAAGTGTTGCATAGTTGGCGATCTTTATTTCTTAGCATGATAGTCATCATCGTCTAGACATTGAGGACTTATCCTATGATAAATAAGATAGAAGGAATGTTTGAAATAATATCTGACAAATAAAATTGTATATAAAGGACAATGACTCTGTGCAAATAGTTGCTTTGAAAAGGACAATGCCACTCATACAATGATCCCTCATTATGGCACAGCTTGGACCTGGAATCAGGTTAGCTCTTATCCTTTTATCTTCTTGTGAATGAGTGAAAATAGTTCTCTTCTCTAAAGCATTTGGACAGAAATTTTTCCAGTTTGAGAAAAATAAATGATATATTGTTACATTTGAATTTTGCCATAGAGCAAATTAATATTTTAAGCAGTTTGATAGGCTAGTATCATCATCATCATTATCATCCAATTATGATGATCAATACTAGATTATTATCAACAACTAAAGCCCAACTTGTTGTAATTGTAGTCAGTCAGTAATAGACTAAGAGAGTGGAGATACCCCTATTTGATTATGGAATTCAGTCATATCCCACAGGTTAGCTTGCTTCACTGAATTTTCATGATAATGAAATAGAGCCCCTCTTGGCCTCCTGAGATATGAAGAAAAACAGAACATTAAAGCAACCTAAAGAAGAAGATAATTAAATGGGGGGGGGAGAGACTTAGGAATAACTTACTGATTCGCTGCATGAATATCTTTCCAGCCCAGTCCAATCCAGTCCAGTCACCACAATGCACTTAAGATCTGATGAATTTGTTTGTTTCACCTGCTCCAAATTTTAGGAAATGAAAACTTGTGATTTTGAAGAAAGAGGCTGCAGAAAGAAAATGTATATTGTTTCTGTGCATATTTTTCACACATACACATACATTTCTCAGGGAAAAGTAAGAAATAAGAAAACAAAGGGTATCGTACTTCAGTAAAGTGAGAATTAAACCTGTTATTTAAATTTCTCCCCATCCTTAGTATAATCTCTTCAGTACTGCTCTTAACCTTGAAGAATAGAAAGTTGTAAATCTCATGCTCATCCAGTATGCTTTATTATTTATAATATATTTTCACATTTAAATAGTGAGCTGAATTTGTACAGGGCACAGGATAGTTGTCATCAGGGGACTGTGTTTTATTTAAACATATCAGCTGCTCTTGGGGACTCTTATTTCAGAAATTTAATGTACAACAATTCTGAAATAATCAAGTCAATAATTTATGTGAAGGGCAGATAAGAATGTTAGTAATAGTTGAATGTTTTACAAGAACTATTGGCAGAGTGGAAGAACAAACATGAATTGTATCATTATATATATAATTTTAAGATTTCTTATTCTGTGTCTTTTTAAATCATATGTATATATTTCCCATAACAGACACACATACTACAAAACGTATGTTAAAAAGTTCTAATAATCTATGGGTTTCCTTCTACAGTCATGCACTTCAGATTCAGCTATTTACAGGGGGAATTTCCAAAGTGTTTCAATTAAAATTGAACTATTTTTTTTTTAAATCTGTCATTCAGGATCCACATTTAAGTATGTTGGTAATGCATACTCCCAATGTCCAGCATTAATTGGCTTGGAAAATATGGAATCATATATCAAGCTGTCTTCTTGTGCAAGTTCCGATAGCTAATCCTGAAAAAAACATTTATTGAGTTTTTTAAAAAATCCTGCCTTTATTATTCTTTTCATAAATAGCTCAAGATAGTGAACCTAGCTAATACTCCTTCCACCTCCTATTTTCCTCACAATAACAAGCCTGTGAGGTGAATTGCGCTGAGAGAATTGGGCCCAAAGGCACCGAGCTGGGTTAATCTGGGATTGAGGAACTGGTTGTCCTTTTTTTAAATTTGACATTGGAGGAGAATGGTCTTTACTGATGGCTTAAATTATGTCATCTCGATGAAATGAAATATACTCTGGGATTCCCGTGTGTTGATTTTCTTCTCCATTAAAATTGTCTTATTGTCTAAAGGCAAGGGTGGGAATGATGACATCATATTCATGCAGTGCAGAGTTCTGAATCTGTCAAGAATTATATTCAGGAAATGTGTACTGGTCTAATAGCTTGATGTGCTTTACCCTATAAACACATTTCACATGTCTAGTATATGCAATGAGGAATGAAGCCTGATGACCACTTATCTCCTTTTGTGTGAGAATTGTCAATATTTTTCTGGACATTTTCATATAGTCCATATTAGAGATTAAATTATTACAGTTTTGCTTTGAATTGGCAGGCAATTTTGTCTTTTCAGGATGCAATAAACAAATATAATTAGAATAGAATAGAATAGAATAGAATAGAATAGAATAGAATAGAATAGAATAGAATAGAATAGAATAGAATAACTTTATTGTTACTTTGAATGTACACTAATCTGCATTTTGTTGCATACATCTCTCAAAGGGTCACCCCCTTCGATATATACTACATAAATATGACAAAAACAAACAAACAAACAAACAAACAAACAAACAAACAAATAAATAAATAAATAAATATGCATATACCCACATATATTATATGACACAGAGAAACAACAGTCTAGTTCAGGTTATGTATACATGTGCATGGCAAGAAAAACGAATCTTGTGAGTTTACCAGACAGATGGCATAGGGAACAAAGCTATTACAGAGTCATGTAGTCCTGCTAGAAATACTTCAAAACCTCCTCCCAGATGGGAGCAACATAAACAGACAATAAAATGGATATGTGGGGGTCTCTAACAATGCTTTGAGCTCTAAGCACATAGCACTTATAAGGAGCATCCTGAATACCAGGGAGCAAGCTTTCTATTATTTTCTCGGCTGTCCTTACCATTCTCTGTATGGATTTTCTACCTGAGGCACTGCTACCACCAAACCAGACAGTGCTGCAGTTTGTTAAAATACTCTCAATGGAGCCTCTGTAAAAAGTGGCCAGGACAGAAGAAGAAAGATGTGCTCTCCTCATCTGACACAGGAAATGCAGATGCTGGTTTGCACACTTCACTAAGGATGATGTGTAGAGACACCAATTCAGATTGTTAGTTATCTGATTTTAAACCTCTTCTGTCTGATTTTGAGTTTCCACAAAGCTCTAATACTTGAGAATTCATATCAAAATAACCAGTGGTGGGATTAAAATTTGTGAATAACTAGTTCTCTGTGTGGATGCTGCTTCTGGAAGTCCATTCTGGGCCTGGGCAACAAAAAAATTAGCTACTGGTTCTGTCGAAGTGGTGCGAACCAGCTGAATCCCACCATTGAAAATAACCATTAAAAAGACCATTATTTATGTTAAATGCCTGGAGGTATAGGAGGCTTTACTCAATCCTCTCTCAATTTATTTGTCTGGGATAAAATATACTTGTCATATAAGAAGGTTCCTTGCTTGCTTGTTTGTTTATTTATTTATTTATTTCAATTTGTGCACTACCCAACAATTTTAGGCTATTCAGAAAAACATGAAAATATGTAAACAATAAAACCAATAATCTGCATTTATTTATTATTTATTCTTGTCAGAAGCATAACAATTAAAATAAACAAACTACATGACATAACATTTAAAATATAAAATACAAGATTAAAATATGTACAAATTAAACAAATCTTGCCCAGAAACTAGCACCATTAGTTGTGTTCTGTCATGCTGCCATGAAGTCCTCAAGAGTACATTGATTGGGACACAAAGGGCAGGTATGCATTTTTGTTGTTGTCTGCATATCACTACAATCGTAAAGAACAGAAGCCACTGGATGGCCCCAATTGTTCAGAGTGTCTCCAGATTTTGTTGTATCCATGCACAGTCTATTCAATGATTTCCATAGTTCCCATATTTCATCAGACACAGGTGCCAGCTCCTCCATTAGTTCCATCCAATGTTGGTTCTTTGTAACTTTCCATAGATCCACTGCTTTCAATTTCTTCAAAGTCTTCTGTAAAAGAAAAGGCAAAGATGGCAAACTGTGCAGCAACAAACACACTCCTCAAAGGGGTTATACCCAGTAGTGGGATTCAGCTGGTTCACATCGGTTCAGCAGAACCGATACCTAATTTTTTGTTGAGTTCG